ATAAAAAAGATGGCGGCAAACTTTTTAGCAAGGCCTGTTGAGACAGGACAAGGGGGAATGGCTTTAAACTAAAGGGAGGTAGATTTAGATATAATATAAGGAAGAAATGTTTTACGCTGAGGGTGGTGAAACACCAGGTTGCCCAGAGAGGTGGTGGATGCCCCATCCCTGGAAACATTCCAGGTCAGATTGGGTGGTGCTCTGAGCAACCTCATCTAGTCAAAGATGTCCCTGCCCACAGCAGGGGGATTGGACTAGATGACCTTTAGAGGTCCCTTCCAACCCAAACTATTCTATGATTCTATGATTCTATGATTCATCTCTCATCCTTTCCAGCTCATCAGTGACTGCAGAAGACCCCAGAGTGAGACTCATCCCAGACACCTGGCAGGCAGCCATCCTCTCCTTGGAGAAGACAGCACAACACCCACTGGTGTGCAGGATGGTGATTCCTCATGCAAAAGTAAAGCATATTTCTCCACCTTACAGAGGAAACAAGGTCTCTTGCAAAGTAACCTTATGGGAGCAGCCTGGCATAGAGACTACAGAGCTGGGAACACACACACATGACCCAGTAACTATTTTCCCTACCAGCCTTGCGCCAAGTGTTGATGGGCAAAGACATCATCTCGTATATATACTGGCCAGCTTCTGGGACCTATCATAAAATTCCTTTGGAAAGCCTTTTGCTTGTAAGACAAGTATGATAAAGATATATGATAATGGTAATAAAGAGGAACACCGTTGATTTTCTCAGCTCCAGTATTTCATTCAGTAGTAGGTGATATAAGGTGGGAAATTATCAGATGGTGGAAGAGGAAAATTTCACATGCATCCTCAGAAGGATGTTTGAGTGATAAAAAGAGCAAAGCTCTGCTGCAGGACAGTCTGGGCAATCATGAGGCGGGTGAGGTAGATGGTCCCACTTCCGATGCTTAGAGTCTCTGTAGGCAATCAACAGACCTAGTAGTAAATATGGTGTGGACATTTCCTATTTCCTCTGACATAGCCATAAAACTATAGGTTTTATGCACCACATTGGCTGAAAAATGAAGACAAGTGGCTGGCTGTCCCATGAGGCAAAGTGCTTTCAGAGGAAATGTCAATGCCTTATGATATGTGATTGGTGCTGACAACATCCCAGAAGTTTGCTCACAAGACAACAGTTACACATTGGTGCCTTAAGGTCTTCAGCCAAACCTTGGAGTGTTGTAAGCCTCCTGTGCTGGTTGATGTCACTCACTAATTTCCTCATATCCTCTCCCACACATTCAGTGCTCTCTTCAGTGCCCCCTGTATGCTGCTCCTCATGGTCCTACAAACAGTCCACATAATCCAGAGGATCTGTGAGGAGGATGGTTGATCCCCCTGTCTCAGCATCCAAAAGTACAAGCTGAGAACACGTGTGCTGAAATGCACGGCCTGTTGGCACCGCTGTTGCTGCCAACCTCTTCTTTATAACCTACACACCACCAAGGCATGAGGATTGCCCAGAGCTCTCCTCTACTGGCATGCTTGCTGCTGATGGGATTTGCTCTCCAGAGTATATATTGTAGGAATGAGTCTTTTTCTGCAATCAAAATCTCCTTGGAAGAGTATCTCCTTGCAAATGTCAGACTCCTCTGGCCTCAAACTATTGCGTCTTTAAAATCACCTTCTAGGAAGCCTGAGAAGGACTGGGGAAACTCCATATGGCAAGAGTAATTTTAGACATTTTTATTCTA